TTTGCAAACCGATCTTTTTCTGATATTTGTGTTTGAGTTTGCTGATTATTTGGATGACGTGTTTTTCTGCTTCAGTGATTTCAACTCTGTTGTTTTTAAAGGAATTTTTCTCTAATATCGTTTGATTCATCTTCATCCCTGACAGAATCTGAATCAGTGCAGCAGCGAAATTCTTCAGTTTCATTTCATGAGATATTTTTTCGTATCTCATTTAGTTTGCATCTCATCGTCTGTCATTATTTGCTGCACTGTTTCCTCATTTTTGTTTGACGCATGACTTTTTGTACTTTGACTCATATTTAGTTTATATATTTCTGTATTTGAGAGTCTTTTATTTCTCATGATGTCCCTGCGGTCATCAGCAAGCCTATTTGTGTCAAGATAGGGTCTTATTTCAATTCTTAGTATATCTTCCTATTTTTGGTATGTCTCATCTCTTTGGAGGATTTACGTGTGCAGTGTAAAAAGAGGTCATGAGTTTCTTATATCCTTCGTGATTCCATTTCATTTTCTTTGAATTGATTGAATTTAGGTGAAGTCATCAGGACGAAGGTTAGACTTTATCCGGTTTTAGTGACCAGGTACCTTATTGTTCGTGGAAGAGTTTGCTCCCGTGACAGATTTTTTAATCCCAAACTGGTTCCTCTCTAAGTGACACGGTGCAGCTCTTGTTGACCCGTCGACGACAGGTCCAGTATGACTTTTGTTTGTAAAGATGGTTGTCGTTGTTGTTGTTGTTGTTATTATTATTATTATTGTTTTATTTCCTTTAGTTTCTGGTGTATTCTCATTTCTTTCCGGGTCCAGACCAGAGACCTAAGATCAGAAATGGCATCATGACATTTTCCACTGAGCAGTTTTGAAAAAAAGTCGCACACATTTTGCATAGATAAAGCCCTTCGTAAGGTGTGGGCTGTACTCGTGAGTACAATTTTTTATATTTCTTTAAGTCATGGGCTACCAGGGATTCCTTCAATGAGTCTACTTAAATCCTTTCCAAGCAATTCGAGGGCTCCAACTACAACTGGAATTGTTAATGTTCTCATGCGCCACATTTTTAAGATACCAATTTCAAGTTCTTTGTATTTTGATAGTTTTTTTGAAGATCTTCAAAGATACATTGCAGTCTGCAGTGATTGCCATGTCAATAAAGAGGCATATTTTGTCTTTACGGACTCTAAACACGATGTCAAGGCGATTAGAATTGATTGTTCTATCTGTGTCTATTGTAACGTCCCATAAAATTGTTACAGGTCCTATCTCTGTAACCGGGACTGGGTGGTGTTCATACCAATTTCTTGTAGTTTTCCTTTCTGTAAGTGTTTCAGATTTTCCAATTCTGATATTGGCCCACTCTTTAGTGCCATGTTTTATCTTCACTGAGTGCCAATACCGTGCAACCTGATACAAGATGGTCAATTGTTTCACAGAATCTGCATTATTCAGTATGTGTGCTTGATAACTTCTAGTTTACAAGCATTGGTCCTGTGCAGCAAGAATAAAACCTTCGGTTTCAGCCTTTAACTCTGCACTACGTAACCACTGATGGGTACGGTGTTTGTCTACATCGGCTTGTTTGGTACGGGCAGAGTATTGATCGTGAAGCGGTTTATCTTGACTTTCTGTATCTGGTCGGTTGCATTTGCCATTGCTTTCTTTTTTTAAGTATTTTGAAGATTCAGTCATTGTATTATACTTGTATTTCTTCACCCACTTGAAACTCCATTTTGAATTTGTTGTCTTCCTTTATTACTGAATAAAAACGCTTACAACTGTCATGTTCTTTGACACAGGTTATCATCCAGTCTTCTGTAGTTTCCAGGTATCTTTGAAGGTCAATTGTTGTAGTTTTGTATGACGGTTTTAGTTGAACTAATCGTCTGCCTCCTTCGAATCTGTGCACATACAGACGATCAACATCAGCTTTGGGATGATGCATAATGTCAGCTATGGTCCAGTTAAGGATGTTAAAACTGTATTGTAACACAGGAACAGCCAAGGTGTTTATGGCTGATATTCTGTTTTTTGAATTCACTTCGGTATTCAATATCAGACGCACACGCCTGTAGTACACCTTTATTACCTTCTCCTTCATTTGGATATACTAGATTTCCATCTCCTTCGCTAATTCCTAGGTACCTATAAGCTTGTTCCAGTTCTCTAATTTTTGTGCGAAAAACTAAATCTATTGAGTGTGTTTCTATAATTCTCCCTTTCTTGAATGTTACTTTTGTACATTTACCTAATCCAAAATCCATACCTCTATCGTCACTGAAGCATTTTACAGTATTGAGGAGACTCTTCAACTCATTGTTTTCTTTAGGAAAGAGTTTGAGATCATATACACGTAGATTAGGTGATTGAATATTTTCTTGTTTAGTTTGTAACCATAGCTATTATTGTGCGTGGTATCATCTTGCCAGAGAGTAATTTTAAGTACCTGATTACCAATATTTCTCCAGGGTTTATGACTAAAGCGTACCCTGTCGGTGAGTTATCTGTGAATATTTGAGACGTTTCGTTTATATGAAAGGTTTTTGTGGATGAAATGAGCAGTTCTACATAAAGTCATCTTTTGTAGCTCTAAGAGGCTGATGTGTCCAGGAATTGTACTCACATGATTTTTGCTACCCTTACTTCATCATACCCAGTACCCCTATCACAATTGGGATAATCGTAGTTTTAAGTTTCCACATTTTTGTTACTTTGATTTGCAGTTCCTTATAATTTGACAGTTTTGGAAATTCTTCTTTAGAATCGCGTCTGTTAATGTTAATTTTCCTGTCTGTGAGGGAAATTCCACATTATAGTCACTTAATCATCATTTGTGACATCATTCGGATGATGATTGTACAATGTTTCCGAGTCTTCAATATTATAGTTCAAACAGACATGCTAATGATTATATGGTCCACGTCTTTCATGTCTAATAATGTATTATTTCTCAGCACGGACTGGTCAACAATTTCATCAAATTTATGGCATAAGCGACAGGCGATATCTGAGCCATCTTTGTTGATTTTAGCTTTGATTAAACATGACAGGCTAGGACAATATATTCATTAGTTGGAAGACATCGGTCTTTGTGTTACCATATTTAGGCCTTCTGTTTCTCCCATTTAAGACCACTGCTTCTAAGCCATTGATAGGTTTGACGAACATCAATGTTTAGTTCATCTAGACGTTTTGGGTACTTTTCATACAAGGGATCTCCATTTTTGTTCACAAGTTTTCATACAGGCAGCTTAACGCCAGTTAGGTTAAGAATATTTGGTATCTGTTACGTGTGAGGAGTTTTTGTATCTTTTTCGAATTATCGTTAAATACCACCCCAAATATAAACGTATAAGTTTGTACATTTATAGTGATGAATGTAGGGCTTTATTGGCTGGACGTGATGGCCCGGATAGATTTTGGGTCCCACGTGGAAATAACCAACACCACTTGGGATTGTAAGAAGTAGAATTATAGGTCATTTGAAATGTCAAAATAAACACAAAGGCTTATTTCTCAGTTCCAGGAGCACACGTCACAATTAAGAAGATTTAAACTAAAGATTGGATTCACACAAGACAATGCGTCCTCATGTTTTTTTTTTCTCCATCTTTTCTTTTTTATTAGCCAACTCCTTCTCTCCCCCCCACACCCACTCCCTTTCTCTCTCTCTCTCTCTCTCTCTCTTGTTTAACTTGATCTTCCTTTGCTTTTATTTTTTGTTTTTTTAATCAATTCACCTCAAGCAAGGTGACAATGCTACTAAGACACAAGGAGTCTTACTGGGAATGAAAAAGAATGGGAAGATTTTCGGAGGAGTAGACAGGTTCGCCTATCATCCGGTTCACACGTCTCCCGTTCTTTTGAACAGGAGTAGAGGTTTATCCCTTGTTTTATGTTTAGGTTTGGGCTTCCGGTTCCTTCTAAAGTATTTTCATTCTCTTTCATTCCCGGTAGCCACTAGCGTCTTAGTGACATTGTCGCCTTGCTTGGAGTGAACTGATTTAAAAAAAAAAAAAAAAAAAAAAAAAGAAGGAACCAGAAAACCCAATCCTAAACAGGAAACAAGGATAAACCTCCACTCCTGTTCAAAAGACATGCAAAGAATGTGAACTGGGTAATAAATGAACCTATCTACTTATTGGTATCTTTCTTGTTTTCCCCCCTTTTCCATATTTTTTTGTTTTTTTTTCTTTTTTTCTTTTCTTCTTCTTCCTTATTTTTCTTTCTTTCCTTCTTTCTTTCTTTTTTTTTTTTTTTTTTTTCTTTTTTTTTCTTTCTTTTTTTTTTCCTTTTCTTTTTTTTCTTTCTTTTTTTTTTTCTTTCTTTTTTTTTCTTTTCTTTCTTTTTTTTTCTTTTTTTTTTTTCTTTCTTTTTTTTTTCTTTCTGAGTTTTTTTTCTTTTTTCTTTTTTTTTTTCTTTCCTTCTTTTTCTTTTTCTTTCTTTCTTTTTTTTTTTTTCTTTTCTTTTCTTTTCTTTTTTTTTTTTTTTTCTTTTTTTTTTTTTTTCTTTTCTTTTTTTTTTTTTTTTTTTTTCTTTCTTTCTTTTTTTTCTTTCTTTTTCTCTTTTTCTCTTTTCTTTCTTTCTTACTTTCTTTCTTTGTCCTTCTTTTTTTGTCTCATTTCTTTCTTTTTCTTTCTTTTTCTCTTTACTTTCTTTCTTTCTTTTTCTCTCTTTCTTTTCTCTTTTTCTTTCTTTTCTCTTTTACTTTCTTTCTTTCTTTTTCTTTCTTTCTTTCTTTTTTCCTCTTCTTTCTTTTAAGTTATACAAGTCATAACCAACAAGATTCAATTTAAAATGTTAGACATTGTCCCTACACCTGCGAAGCCGACTGTTGCCCATCTTGCCAGAAATAGTTTCAAAGACACGAAATTAATGAACTGATCGCTAGTAATTCAAGACGTTAACTTAATAGAAGATCTCTTCTCCACTTTTAAAAGAACTATAGTAACACCACACGATATCGTTAATCGATATTGCGAAAATTCTATTCTATACAGATGGTCTTACGACAATACCACGTTAAAACACCGATTCTCATACGATCATCGAAGTTAAGCAACGTCGAGCTTGGTTAGTACCTTGAACGGTGACCGCTTGGGAATAACAGGTGCTGTAAACTTAGATGTGCGGGTGGTGTGATGGTTAACGGTTCAGAAGTGAAAATCTAAGAGCTGAGTTCCAATTCCAGTTGGGTTCTTTATATTCACTTACGCGCAAATACTTTTGGGTAAGAGATGAATCCACCTCATCTGACCCGCTATGGGTTAATTAGTAGGTCTTGTATCAGCAAATCATTATTTAACACACACACACCAAATTCTTACAATATAAAAATATTCTTTGATTTTAAAATAACCAGCAAAGAGTTGATAAGTCGTAAAAGAAAAAAACGCAATCAATCAATGCAGTTTGTGCTTGGTATCGGAGACTTTTTCCGCCTTTGCAATGTAAGTTTATTTTGGCGTGGTGACGCTAAGTTGGCGCAAAAACGTCAACGTTCTATTTTTATAGGAAATGATTTGGTTTTGCAACCATCTTTTCTAATGCCATCTTGCACTTGAAACCTTTATTCTCACTAGCATAAACTGCTAGAAATTACTTTGTTGCATTCGTTGGTGTGTGTGTGTGCGTGTCCGTACAGACACAATCTTTGATATTTTAACGTCTATAATTGCCTTCCAAAACCTGACCATTATTTTATGATAAGTTCGTCTGCTTCTTCCTTTCTATTTTCGCGCCATTAAATAGTTTTTTTTCTATACTAGTTTTCTTCTTTCTGCCATTTTTAGAGTAAAAAAAAACTGTCGGCTAAGTTTCTTTTGTCATTAATTCCTCCATGCGTCTCACAACATCTCTTTCGATTTTCTCTCTTTTTACCATTTTAGTTTTCCTATTTCTTGGAAATCTGTTCTGTTTAAAACTATCTTTTCCTTATATTCGTTTTTTTTTTTTATTCTACTCGGTTAATGACCATTTCTCTCATTCCTAATTTCTTTTACCCGTCTTTCTCTTCCGTTTTTCTTATCTCTCCTTTCTAATTTATTTTTCCCTCCTTCAAGTTTCCCCCGGTGTGTGGTTATTTAAGCTTAGCTTAAGGGTACTAGAAAAAGACATCAGTAGGGATCGAACTCAGTACGGCCTGCTGACGTTAAACTTCTCTATTTCTCTTCATTTATTACCGTCTCCCTTTTCCATAAAATATTATACGTTCATTTCCTCATCGAATTCTCTGATCTTTCCCATTTCTATTTCGTATTTGGTTTCTCTCTTTCTAGCACTTAAATCATCTCAGGTTTGGTTTCTAACAGCTCCTCCTCCTCCTCCTTCTCTTTCTCTTCCTTCTCCTCCTCCCGATATCCCACTCTTTATCTTCTCTTACTACTTCCTCCCTTGTCGATTTTATATTCACGTTCTTTCAATTTCTCCTTTTATCAACGATTCCATCATTCGCATATAAATCCTCATTAAGCACATCTGCGCTCTCTCCCACTTTCTATCATTCCATCTCCTCCTACTATTCCTTCTTCTATCCATTGCTTCTCCTCCTACTTATTCTTCTCTTCTTATTTTCCCCGTTTTCTCTTTCTCTATTCCTCCTATTTCTTCACCTCCTACTTGTTTTTCTCTTCCTATTTCTCCCGCTTCCTCTTTCCCTATTCCTCTTCTTCCTTCCACTCTTACTTGTTCTCTTTCTATTTCGTACGCTTCCTCTTTCCTTAATTCTCCTACTTTCTCTCCTCCTACTTGTTATTCTCTTCCTATTTCTCCCGCTTCCTCTATTTCTCCTATTCCTTCTACTCCTACTTATTCTTCTCTTCCTATTTCTCTCGCTTCCTCTATTTCTCCTATTCCTTCTACTCCTACTTATTCTTCTCTTCCTATTTCTCCCGCTTCCTCTTTCCCTATTCCTCCTATTCCTTCTCCTCCTATTTATTTTCTCTCCTCCTTTGCTCCTATTTCTTCTCCTTCTATTTATCGTTCACTACTAGTTCACCTTTCCTGCTCCTCTTTCTCTTATTGCTCTTTTTCTTTTCCTCTTTCCTACGTTTCCTTCTCCTCCTCCTTCTCCTCTACCCTTTTCTTCCTTCGTACTATACTTTCTCTTCCTCTTCCTTCTTCGTTTTCTCTTACTCTTTCTTCTTATTCCCTTTCCCCCTATTTCTTCCATCTTTCTACTATTCCTTTTCTTATTGCTTATTCTTCTTTTCCTCCTTTCCGCTTTCTTCTTCTTTCTTTCCTTCTATTCTTCCTCCTTCGAATTATTATTATTTACAACATTTTCGTTCTGTCATCATTTTCTTTACCTTTTTCTTCTTCTTTACTCGTTCTTTCTCTTCTTTTTCTCTCGCTTTGTTAGCCACCCCCCTTCTCCTCGTTTTATATCTCTTTTTCTTCTTATTGTTTTTTCTTTTCTTTTTTTTTTCTATATTTTCTTTCAGGTTCCGTTTATTTTCTTCTTTTTCTTCTTCCTTTATTTCACACTTTCATCCTCTTATTTCTCTTTGTCTTTTCTTTTTCACATAATTACCTCCTCCTCATTACCCTCCTTCTACTTCATTCATCTCCGTTCTTTCTTTCTTTCTTTCTTTCTTTCTTTCTTTCTTTCTTTCTTTCTTTCTTTCTAAGCACTATTTCCTTTGTTTTAATCCAGATATTAATCTTTCCCCCGACGCCATCTTCTTTCTGTTCACATGCTGTCTGTTCTTCTTTCTTCCTCAACATATTCCTTCAATTTTTTATTCTCTTATTTTCTCCTTTTCTTCTTTCCTTTTCATCTGGTTTATTTTCATTTTATTCCTATTCGTTCTTCGCTTTCCTTTTCCCCAGTACCTCTTCCCCTCTCGCTATGTACATTGTATCCTCTCTCTCTCTCTCTCTCTCTCTCTCACTCACTCACTCACTCACTCACACTCACTCACTCCCTCTCCAATTTTGTTATTCTCTTTATATCAGGATTCTTTTTCTATTGTATTTTAAATATAATTTTTCTTTCTTTCTTTCTTTCTTTCTTTCTTTCTTTCTTTCTTTCTTTCTTTCTTTCTTTCTTTCTTTCTTTCTTACCCCATGCCTTCCTTCATCTATTACCTCCTCTTTCTTTCTTTCTTTCTTTCTTTCTTTCTTTCTTTCTTTCTTACCCCATGCCTTCCTTCATCTATTACCTCCTCTTTCTTTCTTTCTTTCTTTCTTTCTTTCTTTCTTTCTTTCTTTCTTTCTTTCTTTCTTTCTTTCTTAATCACTTCCCCCTTTTCCTTTTCCGTCTTTCCACCTTATCTTTCTGTGCAGTTTTTGCTTCTCTCTCTCTCTCTCTCTTTCTCTTTCTCTCTGTCACACATCTGCACTCTCTTCTTTGTTCTCTTTTACCGCCGCCTCCCTCTACAGCATTTCTCATTCTCTTTCCTTCTCTTGCCTCCTCTTCCTCCTCCTCCTCCTACCCTTTTCGCCGTGTTTTATTCTTCAAGCTAAATATTCATATTTATTCCACTGCTTCCGATATCCTTCCTCAATCTTTAGCTCCGCTCCCCCTCCTCATTCCCCTCCTCCTCTTTCACCTCCTCCCCTCATTACATTAAAAAAAAACGCCTGTTCTCTTCTGACAAACCTGCCCTACCATAGCGGGCCATAGGAATTGGTAAGATGACATCAAAGAATCTTGTTTCTTATTTCTTCTGATGTTCGATTCGCTTATTCGTCCGTTCTATACGCTGACGCACTCTCTCAATCTATTATGGTTCTTTGGTACCATTCGATGTGTTCCAAGTTCTTCCATTCGACCTTCTCGATTTGCTCTCCTTCTCTCACCTCTAACAATGTTCGATCTATCTATTTGTCTATCTCAGTAGGTCCATATCTATCTATCTATCTATCTATCTATCTATCTATCTATCTATCTATCTATCTATCTCAGTATGTCGATATCTATCTTAGTATGCCTATATCTATCTCATTATGTCCATATCTATCTATCTATCTATCTATCTATCTATCTATCTATCTATCTATCTATCGCAGTATGTTAATACCTATTTCAAACTGTTCATTATCTATCTATGTATAGATCTATCTCAGTATGTTCATATCTATCTATCTATCTATCTATCTATCTATCTATCTATCTATCTATCTATCTATCTATCTATCTATCAACACATATACACACGCAGATATATATATCCCAATCTGTCCATTTCTTTCTTTTCTTGATCTATCTATCTATCTATCTATCTATCAACACATATACACACGCAGATATATATATCCCAATCTTACCATTTCTTTCTTTTCTTGATCTATCTATCTATCTATCTATCTATCTATCTATCTATCTATCTATCTATCTATCTATCTATCTATCAACACATATACACACGCATATATATATATTCCAATCTGTCCATTTCTTTCTTTTCTTGATCTAATCTATCTATCTATCTATCTATCTATCTATCTATCTATCTATCTATCTATCTATCTATCTATCTATCGTATTCCCTTCGTATCTATCGATCAGATCCACTCTCGATACTCGTGTAAACCTGGTCAAATATTTATCGTAAATCAATCACGAGAATCGTCTTACACTATTTCTCATCGACATAATCATCGACGATTGCCGAGCGCGGGTCTCATGCAAAATTCCGTTAAGAGCACGCGACTCATCTCATCCCGGTTCGTCGAAATCTTTTCTTTCACTCCCCCGAATCCGGGCACCCTAACAAAATCGGGGCGTCTTTTTGCCCCTCTCGATTCAAATGCTTCGCGTTGTTTCTTTCCGTTTTGCACACAGACGCGCTTGAACACACGCATACACACACAATAAGTGTATGTGTGTGCATGCATAAAATCAATTCGACAGTTTTGCTTTTTAGCTCATCTCGCAAGCCGATGATACTGAAATCACTTAATAGGTATTTTCCTCTCTCTCTCTCAATATATATATATATATATATATATATATATATATATATATATATATATATCTCTCACCAATAACACGACTCAGAGTTTCATGCACAACGTAATCTTCAGGTGCTAAGTGTTGTTATAAGTGAGGATGTAATATATATATATATATATATATATATATATATATATATATATATATATTATATTTTATTAACAGCTTGCACTATATGTGCAATATTTTATATTCATATATATATATATTATATATATATATATATATATATATATATATATATATTTATGTGTATATATATTTTTCTCTCTTTGTGTACATTTATGACTCAAATGGAACTAGCTGCATGTTTTGTGTGGGTTGGAATACATTGGGATGTCAGACGAAAACAGATTCTGTTGAATATTAAATGAGACGAGTTGGTAAGGCATCTTTTGGTGATAGATATGAATTGACTGAGTGCTATACACATCAATATAGAGAACGAGGCAGGTGTGAAGTGACAAGCAAGGATGCAAATGCAAAAAGATAGATAAATAGATATGAACAGAGACAAACAAATATAGATTAGAAATGAAGATATTTGTGTGTGCGTTTGTTTGTGGATACTTGCACCATATTGAAAGAGCAACAAATGCTTTTTCCTAACACTATCATTCAATAATCTATTTTTCTATTAAAGGCAGACATGACAGCAAAGCCTGTCTCCAACATTTGCATAAATACATCCGTAATCTGCTTGCCTGTCGAGCCAACTCAGCTGCAATTGGTAGCAAACATAATGGCCTCTACTTCCTCGTCGTTTTCTTCTTCCTCCTCCTCCTCCTCGTTCACAAAATAACATTGCCAGAGACAAGTATAAAGACATTGGGCGGTTTGGGCCATTGTAAGAGTATTGGACTGATTACCTTTAGAATAGAGGTGCCATTTGGAAACCAAAACTTTATATTGGCGTAGTTGACAGCCTTTGGGATTTAGACTCTATTTAATTTTTTTTTTATGGCATTTCAAATTCAGTCACATTCCCACTGCTATGGCTTAGCTTATCTTTGTCTTGTCTACAAATATTTTCATGGTAATTGTTCTGATGAACTTTCCTTTATTGGGGTTTCATTTTTAAATGTTTTTATTTTATCCCCCACCTCCCAGAGACAAATTGTACAGATGGGAACTAGTTAGGGCTTCACAGAGACTCCCAAGTATTATGGTGGCTTTAGTAAGTTACTAGCAGTAGAGCCCGGCGTTGCCCGGGGATGTTAACAGTACGCGATAGATCAAGTATCGACCATCATAAAGACTGAAAAATAAAATTGACAAAGATTATTGTTTAAGGTTGACGGACACGCATGTCTTAATTAGTTTTTTTTTTTTTACGACTTGGTCAAACCCAAACTCAAACAGAAACATTGTTTTCAATCGTTATGAGTCTATCGATTGAATAGAATTTTATTATAAACAATTGTCTTGTAAATGGAATTTTAAAGCATTCTGAATGTAAAAAAAAAAGAAAAAAGTGTGCAAGACAATAAGAAACACTACCAAAAAAAAAAAAAAAAATTGAAGTTTTGTTGAAATCAGTTGAAAAATGTAGGAAATCCGATCCCATATATAAACGAAACACACACACACACACACACAAACAACCTGGGTTTTATATTAAGTATAACTCGATATGAGTTGTCCCCCTTTCATTCACGCGATCACTCTTAATCGTGTTTTCAAATTGATTTCGTGCAAAAACAATTGTGTTTTCCAATTTTTGGCGCTGTCAGAACCACCGCAAGGTAATTTTACGTAGTCCTGTGAAGTTTTGTTGAAATCGGTTGAAAAATGTAGGAAATCCGATCCAATATATAAACGTACAGACACACACACACACACACACAACCTGGGTTTTATAATAAGTATGATTATAGTAAGTAAGAATTTGTTGTTTTGGTGTTAGGAATACTGTGGTATGTTTGGGGGAGTAATCCTGGCTAGCTAAGTTTAAGATAAGACAAATTTAAAACCAGCCTATTTCTATACCCACTTTTGGCCTTGTGCCACAATTTTTTTGTATCAAAATAAAATCAATATTACTTTCCTCTGGGTGGGGGTATTATTAATACTATTTTGTTTAGTTTCTTGGATATAAATTGAATTCATTGTAAATTTTCATTGGCGTTTCATTTTTAAATGTTTTTATTTTACACCCCCTGGACTCTCCCAGAGACAAATTGTACATCAGGGAACTACAGGGCAACCAATAAAAAAAATGGTAAATTCAAAAATATATTTATTTAGTTATTCTTGCAGAAACTGAAAAATCATCACAGATGTTCGAAATATTTGCCTGAATGTTGAACACAAAATTGTAAGCGTCGTAAACAGAAGTCAAGAAGAATTTCATTCTAAACTTTGGTTAAGTTCCACTTCACTGAATCAATATCGACGATGTCATGACGACAGTTTTGGAAGGGAGTTCGGAGTATACTCCAGATACAGTGATCCATAACATTCAGATCCTGGTTTTTTGAGGGCCGCAGAGATGGTCCAATTAGAGTTCGGGTATTTTCTCGAAGAATAAATTTGCCGCTTTTTTACTGGGCACACTATTTAGAACTACATACAGATTTTGACGTAATATGGAGTGGTTGTAGTAAGAAAGGTAAATAAGAATTGGTTGCTTTGCTGTTAAGAATATATGTGGTATGGTTGGGTCAGTAATCGTGGCGAGTTAAGTTAAAGATAAAACAGATTGAAGCATTCTCCTAAGCCTGCATTTTGATCTTCTGCCACACTTTTGTATTATTCAAAATAAATTTTCCTCTATGGCACCTTCGACTTTATGAATATAAGCGCAATACTAGATCGATAGCTAGGTCTCACCAATATAGAGTTGAGGTGACTAAATGTAACCGTAAGTCATGCTAACAGTTTCTTCAACCGCACTTCTCGCTTGTGGAACTCTCTTCCAGATTCTTGCTTTCCAGTTAATTTTGATTTTCAAAAATTTCAGTGCAATGTCAATCGTTATCTTCTGTCTTCTTAATACTTATTGTAATATTGTCCTCTCTCCTTAATAGTAGTTTTTCTCATATTCTCTAACACTCAGTAACCACTTGCGTCCTAGTGGCTTTATTGCCTTTAATCTTCAAACATTTAAATGCAATGTCAATCGTTATCTTCTGTCTTCTTAATTCTTCTTCTTTTATTGTCCTCTCTCTTTAATAGTAGTTTTTCTCATATTCTCTAACAGTCAGTAACCCATTGCGTCTTAGTGGCTTTATTGCCTTTGATCTTCAAACATTTAAATGCAATGTCAATCGTTATCTTCTGTCTTCTTAATTCTTCTTCCTTTATTGTCCCCTCTCCTTAATAGTAGTTTTTCTCATATTCTCTAACACTCAGTAATCCCTTGCATCCTAGTGGCTTTATTGCCTTTGATCTTCAAACATTTAAATGCAATGTCAATCGTTATCGTCTGTCTTCTTAATTATTCTTCTTGTATTGTCCTTTCTCCTTAATAGTAGTTTTCTCATATTTTCTAACGCTCAGTAACCCCTTGCGTCCTAGTGGCTTTATTGCCTTTGATCTCCAAACATTTAAATGCAATGTCAATCGTTATTTTCTGTATTCTTAATTATTCTTCTTTTATTGTCTTCTCTCCTCAATGATGATTTTTTTTAATATTGTTTCACATGTAATTCTTTATATCGTAATGACTTTATTGTGTTGCTTGTAGCGTAATGATTTGAAAAAAAAAATCCCATTTTATTTGTATTTGCTTTGAAAAACTTGATTCTATTTTCTGTAACATTCTTCTTGCTTCTAATTTCTTTCTTGCTTATGTGCGTTTCGCTTTCCTTGTGCCCTTCACTGTTTAATATATTGTGTTGGTGCATAATTATCAGGCGTTTTTTAAACAATATTTATTATGAAAAACGAAACATAACAATTCAACAATAACATTTTGAAATTATTCCGAAGCGTATGATTATCGACACGTATTTTCTTTTATCCTGAAATTAAAATATTTTTATTAAAAAAAAAGTAAACAAAACAGCAATTTTTTATTAACAAATAACTCGCCTACAAAATACCTGATAATTATGCACCAATCCAATGTCTTTAACAGAATTCTTTCATGTCAGACTATTATTCTTTATGGAAATGATGATAATCTATAATTAGTTTTTTCTTGTTCTTTCTTTCGTTTCTTCCTCAGATTATAATGATCTTGTCCTGGGCACGACGATAAATTACCCCCGACAGTATCTGATCTGGAGATTGGGGGTTTTGAGCAGCATGGAACCCCTTCTTAATTGCTGTTGTTCCAAGGTCCACCCTGACCCGAAGTGGTAGCACCTGTTAGGATCAGAGCTATGGCAAATAGTGAACCTCAAAATAAAAACAAACACTATAAAACTGTAAAAACTGCAACAATACATTTTTATATAAAAATTACCAAAAATGCAATTCCAATCGGAAACGGATGTTAAATCCTATTGGGTCTCA